TTTTACATTTTGTTTAGTTTTCAGGCAAGGTCTCCTATTTTGTCCATTAACAATATAAATAGATAGGGTGGTCCCAAACCCACAGGATAGGGGATCTTCCTACCTAACGCTGGCTTGATGATAAGACTAAAGCTATCTATCAGTGGTTGCCAGGAATGTAAGAAGAGAAAGGAGAAAAAAATGAATGGGGCAGGGGGAATTCTTAGTTAAAACTGTTCAGTATGCTTCTATGCATACTGATATACCGGTATCCTTAAAAATTTGTCAAAAAAACCCTAACATTTATAAAGGGACAATTTAATATGTGATAATAAAAAAATAACTTGAGAAGTGTAAGAAGGAAGATCCTAGGTAGTATTCAGACTGTAAAACAAAAACTCTATACTACAAATACAGGAAACAGTTCAGCAAAGGGGCTGGAGAAGAAGAGCTGCTGACCTTAGTAACAGGAATGAGGAGAGTTTGTGAGAACAGAGGCAAAGGAGCTGTAAGGACAAGCTATCCTTGGTTGGTGAAGTTTTGCCCACAGGACCAGTTAATAACAGATCTGGAGCCTGGGCTTGAGTCAAATGGCAGTGGGAAGGGAAACACATTTCTCATACTGCAGTTGAGACTCAGAGATAAGCCAAAGGAAGTGGCCAGAATGAACCCAAGGGAAAGAATTACTGTTAGACACAAGATTAAAACTCATCTTGAGGGTTAGAAACAGCCCCTGCGTGACTCCGTAAAGGAGAGTCAGGAGAAGAAAATAGACTTACTTCAGGGCTGAGCTCTGCACAGTCTCTTATCTTCACATTGACCAGGTAAGGGTCTCTGTGTTAATCACCCAGCAGAGAGGAAGGCAGGCAGGCATATATGAAAAGAAACTCCTCCGATAGCTGAGGAGCTATTGACATTTAACAGCTGCTGGGAGAGGAAAGTCACCTTTTTTTTTTTAAAGATGATGTGACCCCTGGTAGGTCAACCACATGCCAGGATAGAAACTACTTCCAAAACTAGCTGGGTAACACAAACTAGACATGTTGGAGGAAAGGAAGCACAAAGGAAAAGTTGGGTGGAGAAAGGAATTGGGGGGGGGCAGTGAATATGTTCAAAAGGCATTGTATGAAATTCTCAAAGAATAAAAATAGTGTTAACAAAAGGAAATATAGGCTCTACTACAAAGAGAGAAAGAAAGGAAGAGCTTCGAAAATTCACAGGGTCACAGGACAGGAAGGGCCAGGAAAGAAGGGAGGTGCACCAGAAGTAACTTCAGTGCCTGCAAAGGAGGTAGGCAGAAGCCTTACGAAAAAGGTAAGCCTGGTGGCCCTGGTAGGAAGAGACTGGCTGTTCTTCCCACAAGCCCTCTCAGGCCTCAAATCCAACTGCAGGTTTTGCTAAGACAGTGACGCCTCTGGGCTGGGTCATCAGTTGGGAAGAGTTCCATTTTGTCCCTTTATAGAAAAAACAGAGGGCTCCCAACTTGAGACCCATCTTCTGCAAGAGAGCTAACCCCTGACACTATTAATAATGCTCTGCTATACTTGTAGACAGGAGCCTAGCATAACTGTCTCCTGAGAGGCTTCATCCAGCAGCAGATGGATCAGATGCAGAGACCTACAACCCAAACATCAGATGGCGCTCGGGGAGTCTTGTGGAAGAGTCGGGGATAGGATTGAGCAAGCAGGAGGAGACAAGGACACCACAAGACCTAGAGACAACTGACCTCGGATCACAAAGACTGAACCACCAACCAAAGAGTATTCAGGGGCTGACCCTAGGCCCACCACACACATATAACAGATGTGCAACTTGGTCTTCATCTGAGTCCCCTAACAATTGGAGCAGGGGTTGTATCTGACTCCCTTGCCTGCCATTGGATCTCCTTCTCCTGTCTGGACTCCCTGGTTGGGCCTTAGTTGGAGAGGCTGTGCTTAGTCCTGCTGGAACTAGATGTCCCAGGGTGGAGTGGTACCCAAGGTGGGGGCCTCCCCTTCCCCTGAGGAGAAGAGGAGGCAGTAATGGGGTATAAAGTGGTACTGAGAGTAAAGGAGGGAGGTGTCTTCAATCAGGATGTGAAGTAAATAAACATAAATAAATTATTGAATAAAAAGAAAGAAATTGGCCGGGTGGTGGTGGCGCACGCCTTTAATCCCAGCACTTGGGAGGCAGAGGCAGACAGATTTCTGAGTTTGAGAGTTCAAGGCTAGCCTGGTCTACAGAGTGAGTTCCAGGACAGCCAGGGCTACTCAGAGAAACCCTGTCTCGAAAAACAAAAACAAAAACAAAAACAAAAACAAAAACAAAAAACAAACAAACAAAAAAAAAACCAAAAAACAAAAAAAAAAAAGAAAGAAAGAAATCAGAGGGCATTGGATGTTAGAAAGGAACAGTGTTTAAAACTGAGCTGATACGGGGACCTGAGAACAAAGAACAGCCACAAGAGCCTGAGTTTAGCGAGCCATGAACCCAGGGAAAGAGACAGCCCCAGAAACAGTTATAGACTACAAGAAGGTTAAATGAGTCAGGATTGTGAGTTCAAGGCCAGCCTAGACTACCTAGTGAGAGCCTGTCCCCACACAGTCTATTTACTCATCCTGAGCTTAATATAGACACAGATGGTTGGTATGCACACACCATTATCTATAGATAGATGCTTATGCAAGTGAGCATATACAGACATATTTCCTTGTTCTGTCAGTCTAAATCGTCTGAAAGAAACGACCTTCCAGCAGCAATGATCACTCCTGGCACCTGATAAAAGAAACCAAGAGAACAGCCGGTTCTAGGACTAGAGCCAGAGGGAAAGAAGACAGAATACAAGTCAACAAACCCCATTTCTTATCATAGCATGCCAAGGTGGGCACAGCAGACACCAGGAAGAACACAGTGGCCAAAACTGGATGGACTTTGCAACACCAATTGATTAGCATCCGAACCTAGCCCAAAGTATTCATGAGTTCATATGAATATAAATGAGTGAATCAATGAAAAGATGGTGAGGAGATAACGCCCTGGTGCAGAGGTGTTTAGATAATGAATGCAGATGCTTCAGCCTCAAGGAAAAGTAGAGGTTACACAGCAGTGGGAAAGGAGAGGAAAATGACATCATCACCTACCAATTTCCACTTCAGCTGGGTACCTATGGTCAGGATCCACAGTATAAGTCAGGTTTCCATATTTGTACAACATGATGCAAATGTTACTTTTCCTTTGTGCTATCTCTCCTAAACACACGCACACACACACACACTGACTGTATGGACTCTAAAACTGACAAAGTCTAAGGAAGAAAGATACTCATAAATTGTCACAGCCCATTGACTCCTGGGAGGTGTGGCAGCGAAATGCCATTCGGTCGATTTGTGGAATAGAAAAGGACATTAGGGGCTGGAGAGATGGCTCAGAGGATAAGAACACTGAGTGCTCTTCTAGAGGCTCTGAGTTCAATTTCCAGCAACCACATGGTGGCTCACAACCATCTGTAATGGGATCTGATGCCCTCTTCTGGTGTGTCTGAAGACAGCTACAGTGTACTCATATACATAAAATAAATCTTTTTTTTTTTCAAAAACATTAGGTAATACTAAGGACATCTGAATAAAGTGTGCATTTTAACTAACATTTTTAGTTAAATGATGCATTGACTCATTTGTTAGCAGTTACCCTGCTAACAAAAAGTTCTCAACTGAAGAAAGCTGGGGTTAAATCATATGATTAGTGTTCACAAAGCCCTGGATTCAACCCTCAATACCAGATAAAATAATTGAGGAAGCTGTGGTGGGGTATGAAAATGTTCTGTTCTTCATAAATTTCCTGTAAAACACAGAGAACCATTACCCATCCTCCCTTTAAAAGACTCCACAGTAGGAAAGATTTCAGATGCAGGAGAGAGCATCCAGAACCACTCCTCAGGCCTCCATGGGTTCTGCCTGACCTACTGCAGACTCACACCCACCCAAGCCAGTCTGTTTATACAGGGCTTAGCTTTCATTTTGGTTTGTCACTTCTGAAATTACCTGGACAATATGTGGGTCTGCGCCCATCCTGAGCCAGCTATTCTGTGGAGGGAGGTGAAGGGCTACTGGCTTTCATATGGCTGCTATGCTCAACCTGTTGTGAATCAAGCCAGGAGCGAAGGAGACCTTCTTTTACACAAGCTCTAAGACTGGAAAAGTTGGTTCATCAGCTCCAAAAGATTTACAAGACAGAAGTGGGTGAGACCAATCATAGAAGACTCACAAATGCCCACAGTAAAAGAGAAGTGAGTTGTTTTCTGCAAGGTCGTCAGACATGCTCATAATTTGAAAAAAAGATAAAGGAGATACAATGGAAATTTGCATCATGTCCGCAGGACTTTTACATAATTCGTCATGTTTTATGGTTTTTTTAGATTTGATAATAAATCTACACACACAACCCAAATCATTGAAAGTATAAGTTAAAAGAATAAAATATAATCAACAATTTTATGAGGGTTAAAGCACAGCTTCTAAAACAATAAAATATAATAAAAACAACCTGGTTTTGCTTAGTGTAGTAGGCATGCTTTTAATCCTAGCACTCAAGAGGCAGACTCAGGTGGAGCTCTATGAATTTAAGGTCAACCTGGCCTGTATAAAGAGCTCCAGGCCAGCCAAAAAACAAAACAACAAAAACATAGAATAATGTTTAGGATTTTACATTCATCTTAGAAGTAATCTAATTTTGCTCAAATTCTTATCCATAAAATAGGTCTAGTTGTAAAAGATGCAAGAAATCTAAATTACTAATAGTGAAAAGTGTGACCAACATACTTTTTATTAACATCAAGCAGTGTCATTTGCACTAATCATGATTATGCTATAGAAAAACTTCATTTAGCCAAGTTAGCTTTGGTAGACTGACAGTGGCTATAATGACCTGTTCATAGCTACAATGTATCCATGATAGGCACCGTCCTGTGATTATTTCACTGTCCCACCCTTTATGTGAAGGTGACCACTTAGATCTCTGAGAAAATGAAGACATGCTCTGCTCACCTGTAACGACCATGCGCTTTCCCACCGTCTCAGAGAGTGGCTCCCGGTGTGACAAAGCCATGGCTGAAGTTTAAATTTTTTTGCTGCAGTTACTGCCTGAACGTCTTCAGAACAGTGAGTGCACCAGTAAATGGCAAGGACTGTGTCTCTGCTCTCCCTGTCTGTGAACTGGGCTGTGTGGTTGCCAAGGATGCTTTATGACACAGGGAGCAGATGTTCCAGAGCCAGAGCTCTAAATTCCAGTTTCCAAGAGCAGACAGAACTGGAGTATGCTCAAGAGCTGCATCCCACCACCACTGTCCCTTGTCTGCCCACAACCAAGCAGAAGAATCTTGTTCACAAAGTCCTACAGCAGCCTAACAGGCTCTATCACCGGAGTCTTTCAGCATTTGTAAAGAATGTCCTACAGGGACAAGTTGCAGGGTGAAAAAAAAAAAAAGAAAGAGAAAGGAAAGAAAAAAGAAAGAAAACTACAAAGCATAGTTACCCCTAAGATACAAGTGTGCTTGCCCTGAGACAACTAGACTACACAGACATCCATGTATCAGGATACTCACACAGGGTTCCTTCCCATTTTTTACCACTCCATGCTTCCAAACAGAACTGACTGTTTCCCAGTGTAGACAACTGCAATCAAATCTTTTTTGTATTCCTGGCTTTCTTTGTTGTTTCCTTTGACTCAGGCCTGTATCATATTCTTCTGTTGCAGAATCTTTCCTTCTCTTAGAGGCTACTCAATCCTGATTACCATATTTAAAGGTGTTGGATCATTACAAAGCATCTCTCGGTGAAAATACTCTGTCGTCAAAAGAACCATTGTCTGGTTATAATTTTGGAGTATATATATTGGATTATATTTTCTACACACATAGTGCTATAAAGTAAAATTTCTGCATACATCTGCAGCTCTTTGCTAACATCTTTGTACTAGACTTCTGGAAGCGATATTGTTGGTTTAAGGAGAAAGACATGTAGACCTTTATTCTCCCACCCCATAACGGTTGTGTCATTTTGAATTCCTACTCACAGCTTCTGAGAAGGCCTGTTTGGCTGTTCATATCACCTGCTCAGCTTTGGCTTTTCCCCAGATGACAGATGAGACATAGTGACAGTAATTTGTGTTTCTCTTGTTGTTGGCGTGATTGGACATCCTTTCAAATGCAGGCTGGAAGTTGAATAAGGGACTAGTACAGGGTAGTTAGGAGCTCTCCTATTGACATACACTTCCACCCTGTTATCGTCAAACCTCTTGATCTATTGTGTTTTCTTCATCCAAGTCATCTTTTTTTAGATCCTACATTTAAAAATAATGAGCTAATGTTCTGAAGAGACATTCAAATTTGGAGGGACTGTGGGAAGGGAAACAAGAGCAAAATAAAAGGATACATGGCATGACAAAACCCGGTGCCTTGAAAGATAACCTTAAATTTTAATTAAGACTAAATCACTTACAAAACATTAATAATAAGATATTAATAATGAGATGTTCATGCAAGGATGACTCCAAAATGTAATGAGGGCAATGATGGTTACATTAATACACATAGTAAAGACCTAATTTTGCTCCTTGAGTCATGGGAACATGGGTATAGCCCTTGCCCAGGGTAGGATAGTGCATAAGGATTACATGTAGAGAAACGGGTTTTCTTTGAAGAGGTAATATCTGAACTGCTTTGAAGGATGACCAAAAACCAGGGTGTGGCTGGGAGATCATTTAGGGACAATGAGAACCAAAGGCTAGAGAAGAGAAATGGTCAACAGTACAGTGCACAGCCAAAATTCAAGTTCCTGTTAGTCCTCTTTCTGTTTAAATCCTAAGGGATTAACTTATAAGGAATGTGTGTTTCAGAAGCTTGGTCCACTGTCTGTTAGTTCTGTGGCTTTGGGGCTTGTGGGGAGGCAGCAGCTCATCATCACAGGGAGCATGTATAGGATGCACAAAGCTGCTTATCTCATGGCAGCCAGGAAGCAAATCAAGAGAAGGGGCTGGGGCCCAGTGTTCTTTCCAAGGGTGTGGCCACGATGACCTCTCTCACAATAGGCTCCACTTACTTAAGATTCCAGGACTTAAGCTCACAGTCCTGTCAACCAAGACTTCAGCCCATAGGAAAACGTCTGGACGATAGCAGAGAGTGAGCTGGGTAGTGTGAGGCAGGAGAGACTCCGTAAATCCCACAAGCAGCAGTGAGGATCACCTGTGGAAGGCACCTGCATAAGATCAGGGACCAGGTCTGTCTTGGGTTGAAATTAGAATCACTTGACTGGAGAATCGGCTTGATGAAAAAGGCCTGTCGTCCCAGCACCCACAGGCAGCTGTTGACATTGATGAGCACAGGCGATAGAAAGGTCCAGGCAGAGCCCCCGAACTCAAACAGTTTTGATTCATCCTTGGATAGAAGCTGGAAATGTTTAGTCCTGTCCACAGGTCTGTTCTTAGCAGAAGCTAGGAATACCTGCAGGGTGTTTATTACCTCGTTTTCTCTAAAGCTCACTGGTTTATTATCTCTCTTCCCTTAAATGATCATCCCTGCCTGGAAACTGTATGTGAGGAAGTGATCAAAACAGAGAGGCACCTGGACAAACCAGTGCATTTCCTCACCCCATGCTGCACCTCAGTTTCTGTCGTAAAGGCTATAAACACCTCAGTGGCACCCTACTTCCGGTCCGAGGCCCACGATACAGGAACTCTGCCTTCTTTCGTTTAGGCTCCCACCTATAATCTTATAAACTCCTTTCTAAGCTCTTTCTTCCTGTTCATTAAATTTATTCTTAAAATTCATGCGGCAAGAGACCCGGAAGCCACTGGCCTAGAACTGCTTTGGTGGTTGTCTGGGACCCCAGCACCGCAAGTTATGCTCACCTGAGCTGAGAGGGAAACCTCCATTGTACTCAAGGACCTGAATCAATATGGCCCAGGAAAGGGAAGTGCTTGATCCAAGTGTGGAGTGACAGGAAGGGGAGGAGTGTGTGGGAACCACATACTGAGGGGTGGTGGTGAACGTGATTGACCTCAGCTTTCTAGCTTGGTTGAATAAGATCGAGAAAACAAAGACAAGAAATGAAAGCCAACTAACAACATAACAGTACTAGCGATAAGATGATAATATCAGTTAGATATGGATTTGTATATGCTGCACAGCAGGTTGATAGAGTTGTTAAAAATTAAGCCCCATAAAATATTATGACAGCTACTGAATTCATTGTAGGGAACTAAAGATGATCTCTATCAGCTTCCAGGATCATTTCTATTAAAGAAATCACTGTTATCAATGAATCAATACCAACTCAAGCTTTGCTGCCCAGCCGGAATGAAATCTTTTTATTCTCTTGCTTTGATAATTTAATAGTTACTTCAGAGCTCATAATCACTTCAACAGATAGAACTGTAGAGGCCAACATAGGGTCCCTGTAAAGACATCTTGTTTTAATGTTTAGGAAAGAATGAAATTATACATTTTTATAATCAGAAAATTTAGAAATGCAGCAACACAATAAGAAATATCTATATAGGTGAATTTAGGTCAAATTTGCAGTAATTATGTAACAATAATGTCTTAATGGGGGGATTGTGATGATCAATGTTAATTGTCAACTTGACACAATCTAGAATTACAGGAGAAGACAGTTTCAATGATGGGTTGTCTATATTAGATTGGCCTGTGGATACATCTGTGAGGGATTATTTTTTATACAATAATTGAGCTAAGAAGAACCTATCCACTGTGGGTGGCACTATCCTCTAGGTAGGGGATTCTGAACTGCATAAGAGTGGAGAAAACAAGCTAAATACTAGCATACATGAACTCATAGCTCTCTACTGACTGAGTGATTAATGTGACTGCCACTTCAAGTTCCTACTGTCTTATCTTCCCCTCAGTGATGGACAATAGCCCAAAATGTGAGCAAAATAAATCATTCCTGAAGTAGCTTTTGTCAGAGTATTTTGTTACAGCAACAAGGAAAGAAACTAAGACAAGATCTTAGCATAAGGGTCTCAGAATTTGATCTCCAGCATTAACAGGAAAAGTCCAGAGAGGGAAAAGGGAAGAGGAAAGGAAGGGAAGAGCAAGGATCAAAGAGAAAATAGAAAAGAAGAAGAAGAAAAGGAAAGGAGAAAGAAAGGGAAGGAGAAAGGAAAATGGAAAGGAGGAGGGGTGGAGGAGAGGGGCAAGAGTGGCTCAGTACAGTTTGCAAGCTGGGGAGCTTTGTGACTCATGTGTCAAAGGTTCTTTAGTTATTACTTTTCTGGGTAGTGTTAGATCACAGACACACCCCCTGCTAAAAATCAGGTCATCTGAGCCTGCATGCAGTCTGTCCCTTAGGACAAAGATCTGACAGGTGCCTGATGTGGCCTGACTCGGACAGTGGGAAAAGCAGCTCAGTCTTCCCCCCAACCCCATTTTCTGATCAGGTAACAAGGCAACTTTGAACTATAGTTCTACCTACTGCCTGCCTCCTGGCACAAACTGCAATGGAGTCTGCCACCTCAGAAACCTCTAAGAGTAGAAACTCCCTTCACTCAGGGATTTGAAGGATCTTTCTAACGTTGTTTCCTAACGGTGCTGTTCTTTGGGATCTGAAGGGAAGGCTCCTTCTCCCTTTGTGGCCCCATTGAACTGCCTATGGTCTGGTGTTGTTTTTTCTAATGCTGTCTCACTTCAAGATCTAATCATGCTAGCCCCCCGTGGTCATGAAACACACCCTCTTAGTAAATATTATTCTAAAGGGCAATCATGTCAGCCACTTTTTACCCTCACATAATTTCTAATACATAGTAGAAAGGGGACCCTGGGCCTAGAACATACTCTGTAAGTGCTCTAGCACTTAGCCACACATCTACTGCTTTCTGTATACTCTGGGTATGTTGAGACAATGTCTCCTTGTACCCAGTTTATCCTCAGACTCCCTGTGTATACAGAGACTGGCCTTGAAGTCACAAGTTTCCTACTTCTACTTCCCAAGTGCTGGCAGTACAGTCCTATGCCACCATGCCACGAATTTCCTTACACTTCTTATTATCAAACATTGATACGCCTCACAAGCAAATCAAATACTTACAGGCTTGGCTTCAAGTTGCAAGTCTTTTGTATAATATTGGCAAGGTGCTTTTTTTTTTTTGGTATGGCAATTTGTAGGATAAATGAGATCTGTGTAAAATGGTTATC